CTGCTACCTTTCCCCTTCCTTTTGCCGTATAAAACTCCTGTCCCGGAAGCTGCTTGTAGTCGGCTTTGACGTAGGTTTCGTCGTCCATTACCACGCAGTCAAACTTCGTCAGCATCGTCGTGTACAGCCTCCAGGATCGCGCTTTGGCCGTCGTATTTTGTTTATCATCGCGATTTGGAGTCACTACCTTCTTGTAAGTCGATAGTCCGGCTCGTTTTTTGGCTCGATGCACGGTTGTAGACGATACATCCAGCTTATTTGCGGCATCTCGGAGAGAGAGGTTAGGGTTTCGCTTGAAACTACCGGCAACTCTCTTTGTTGTCTCAGCGGCTTCCGGTTTTCGATTCCCCCCCGATCCAGACTTCCTGGCTGTCGACAAACGTTCCCCAAACACTTTAATTACATTTGTAACGGTTGATTTGGCAACTTTTAGCGATTTTGCCAACTTTGCGTGCGAGCAGCTCGGATTTTCGCGATGCGCGAGCAAAATTTTGATACGCTGCTCTTCTTGCTTGGACGGCATTTTGACAACTGAAGAGTGAATTCCAAAATCAAAATAGGAGCAACATTCTACACACACACACCTTCAAAATGAGAGGTGTTCAGGTTTTTTAAATGCAAAATTGAAAGAAATACGTCAAGTTGATATTGACCAAATTTTGACCGTATCACCCTTTACGCACTTATTCGATTTACGAACCCCCAGTTTGGTTCGTAAATGGAGGTTCCAGTGTACTTCTATTAACTCCAAACAAATTATTTTGAACAATTAAGAAGTTTTGGGTGTTTTATAAGAGTTGCAAGACAGATTCCAAAACTTCAGAGTAGTTGCAAGAATTTCAAGAGCTTCAGGGAAGTTCCGATTGCTTCAGTACAGTTCCATAATTGTTTGGAAAATTTCTAGAACTTCTGTGGGGATCAGAAATGTTCAGGGTAGTTTTATTGAAATTATGGAAATTTACGGGAATATCTGGGCGAATCTGAGAACTTCAGTACAGTTCTATAAAACGAGTGAGAAGTTCAGAAAAGATGAGAGGACGTCAGGGAAGCCCTATTTAACGTCACGGCAGTTTAAGCAAGTTTAAAGAAGTTCCGAAAAATTAAAAGAAGTTCCAAGAATTTCTGGGAAGTTTTCAGAACTACCGAAAAACCATCGGACTCTTTTAGGGAGCTTCATGAATTTCTATGCGGTTCCTTCTAATTCGTCCCGAAAAGTCTAATAATCCGTAAGAGAATGTTCCAAGCAGGAAAGTTCCAAAAAATTTTGGAAAATTTTTTCAGAACCTTTAAGAAGTTCCGGGAATTTCAGAATAGTCCAGAAAACTTCAGAGACAGTTTGAAAACTTAGAAATATTTCAAGAACTGTTTTCAAATCTGGAAGACCTCATTGATGCTTAAAGTTTTTTGGACAGGTCCATGAATTTCAGAGCATCAGATTTTTTTTTAAGAAGCACTTCAGGAGATTTTATAAGATTCCATGAAAGCTCCGAGAGCAACAGAGAACATCAGAGAACCTCAGGGCAGTGCAATTTACTTCAACTCAAAATAACTTTGACTCTCAACGATGTTCTGAGTAGATTAGGTAATTCAAAGTTCCGATAGTCTTAGGAAAATTGTGGAAGCTTCAGGGACGATCCATGAAAACGATTTTGTTTTGTTAGAGTGACTTTTTGCCAGTGGCTGGTTCGTAACTTCTCGTAGGGAAAATAGAGGCACACTTAAAGGGAAGTTCCGATAACTTCATGACTGTTTTGAGAACTTCAGATAAATTGTGTGAACTGCAGCGAAGATCAGATAAATTAAAACTGAGAGCGATCAAGTTCCAAGATTTTCAGGGATGTCTAAAAGACTTCAGACAGATTTTCGGGCAGTTTCATCAGGAAAGTCTCGAGAACTTTGAGTAAGAAAATAACTTCAGAGCAGTTTCGTTAATTTAAAGAAAATTGCAAAACATGCACTTGACAGACACCAAAATTCCAATAATGTTCCAAACATTGCAGGAAAATGGAGGAGTCATCAGGGAAGTGCGATTAATGTAAGAAAAATTGAAAGAACTTTAAGGAAGTTTCAAGTACTGCTGGACAATTTAAGAAGCTTCAGGGATACACCAAAAACCTAGCACTCAGTAAGCAGTTTTAGCTGCAGATCAACCTTATGTAGCTAAAAACAGGCTTATTTTGTTTTTAGAATGCTAAATTGTTTATTAGGAAGGTTAGACATTTTAAAAGATGTTCCGTGATCTCTGCGGCTCAATCGCATTTGGTTTCATGCTTAATTTAAATGTAATCAATAATGATTCTCATGATTCTGTGCAATATCGGGAATACCCGCTATTCTCCATAGAAGTCTCAGAAATCCTAGCAAAACACTTTTGGAATTCCCTCCATAAAAAAAATTGAAATCCATTCAACCTCTTTGTAATATTTAAAATTATTATGAGTTAATAAATATGTTAATCCTTGATCTTGAATTTCTGTATATGGAATCTAAAGCTTAACTGAATTATTTCTTTGGAATTCATCTCAGGCTATTTTTGCGAATTTTCTCAAAGATTTTCTGAGGATAATTTCAAGATGTCATCAGAATTACTTTTAATTTCAGGATTCACCTCAATAATTTCATGAATCTGTCCAATATCGGGAACACCCTCTACTCTCTACAAAAGTCTCAGCATTCTTTGAAAACACTTTTGGAATTTCCTCCAGAAAAAGTCTGGAAATTCACTCTAGATTTGTCTTTGTGTTATTCAAAAATCTCGCAAGAATGTGCTTTAATGTCTCTTCATTATATTCTTTACAATTCACTTGAAATGCTCCTAGAAATCTCTTGGTATGCCATTAAGAATTTAGACAAGTACTATCCCAAAATTTAATTGGATATCACTTCAGAATTCTATACAAAATTTCCTTGACATCCATCTCGAAATACTCTTGAGAGGATTTCTTGAAATTCACAGGGAATTCTCTTGAAACTATCTTTATTTTATTTTATTTTTTAACTTTCTTCAAAATCACCAGGAACAAAGTTTCTTTGGCAAGATACTCAAAATTTCCTGCCAAACCCTCGTTCTGCAAAGAACATGTTTGAACTAGGGGAAATAGCTCTAATGGATCTAAGATTGGGCCCATCGCTAAAAATCTTCTATTTATCAATTTTATCTAGATGAACGCATCATTGGGACGGTACTAATGGATATTTTTGGTCGCTATTGAAAATTTAGTCGATTGCTGAATTTATGCAAGGGCCCAAATTAGGAGCATTTAGGCCGACATTACATCCATTTCCCTCATATTAAGAAGGAATTCCCTTTGAATTATTATCGATATTTCCTTGCAGCTCTCTTCAGAATTTCACTGTGATCAATTAGTCGATCATTCTCCTTGAAATTATCTTCAAATACTTCTCAAAATTACCTGAAATTTGTAGTCAAAGTCCATTGAAAATATCCCCACCAATCCTTTATCTTTGGAATTCCCCTACAATTCTCTTCAACTCATTTGGCATTCTCATCTTAATTATCTAGCCAATGTTTCGAAGTGTCAGAATCCTAAAATTTTGTCTTATTTCAAGAGTCATGATTCTTTTTTAAATCTGAGATCTTTAAAATTGGCCATATAATTGAAGTCAGAAATCTCTCAAAGTTGAAGAACGTAAAATACTGGCCTTGCCTCAAAATATTGCAAATTTTCTTATGTAGTATCAAACAAATCTTAGTTCAAGAATTCAAATGTCATTCCGTAGATCTTAAGAATTTCTATGCTCAATCTATCAATTCGGCATAGTGGTCTTCGAATATTTACATGGTAAGTTAGGGACCATCCATGGATGACGTGAGCAACTGACGAATCGATTTTATGTTTCCCTTCTCGAATTCCATGAAACTTCGCATAATTGTTCACTAGGGGTAATGAACCAAGTTTCAGCCGGAATTCGGCCATTTATATTCACGCCTAATTTTTTAAAATGGCTTGATCTATATTTTTCAATAAATCATAGCACGAAAACAGCTCATCTAATCAAAATGACGTTTGAGGTAAAGTTGGTTGTATTGCATTTTCTAAAAAATATACACATAAAACATAAATTTTGAACTTTTTTTTCACAAATAATTTGTATTCTTTTTTATCCAGAAACATATTTTTTTAGTCCAGAAAATCGTTTCCTATGCACAAATCACATAAATATTTCGATTAGATGAACCGTTTGCGTGCTATGGTTTATTGACAAATATAGAAAATTCCTTTTTGAAAAATTCGGCGTGAGTCATAAAAGCCGCATTCCAGCACAAACTTGATTCATTCCCCCTATCGAACAATTATGCGAAGTTACATGGAATTCTGAGTGGTAACATTTGAAATTTTTCGCATTTGGCGAGTCCCTGCAGGTTTTCCCAAATATGAGTAGATTTCGTATGGAAAAATATGCTCTGAGTCAATTGAATTCAGTCGCTTCAGTCATAAATCATATTCCAAATCTCCTTTTCCCTCTCCCGATCCAAACAATTGTCATCCACTAACTTCGAGAAGACCACGAGTAATCGGTTCAAATCTTTTAATTTTAGATTTAAGACATTTATAATGTATAAAGAAAATGATAACTTGGCTCTGTAAAGTTTATTCGATTGAGCCTGTACAAATAAAGTAATTAACAAAAAAACAACGGAAGAATAAACTAACGTGCTGACTGAGCGCTCTGCTGTAAGTGCTGCCAGTGACTTGTTTACTTCCCAATCATTCAGACTTTCATGAGACTGTCAATAATGAGGCGGCTGTTCATATTCATACGAAAATCACTCATTGAAGCTGACTCACGCATAAGCATATTCCAACTCTCGCCCTCAAAAGAACAGGGTCTAAATAATACCAAATTTAACGTTTTAATTACATTCATTACTTCCAAACTTTCCTCTAAATTGACTTTATTTGACTGCCGTTTCACTGCCCTTTGGTTTGAATCAAATTCCCCCTATCTAACACGCTTATCCCATCACTTCCAAACAGGCAACAGCCACTCCTCTCGGACGAACAGGCCCGCGAGGTGGAGCAGATTTTGCTCAACAACAAAACCAAAGCCGAAACCGATTCCCAACAAGACACGCCACTGCCACCACTTCCACAGCCACTACAATCCCCTCCGCAGGGATTCCGTAATGAAGAGCAACAGCATGATTCACCGCAACCGTCTCCTCCGGCGGCTGCCATTGTGGAACCCACACCCCCACCGTCGGCAACGGAAGAACCGGACTGGTTGAAGGATGTCCTGGAGGCACCTGCCAAAAATGGAACTACCGCTCCCCGGGATAAACCTCCGCCTCCTCCTCCACCGCACGGCGCCGCCACTAACGGGTTGGAACCACCGGCTCCGCCGAGCCGTAACAATTCCACTAGTCAGTTCGAGGAGACCAGCCTCGGCAACAATACGACCGATCTGCTGAACCAAACCATTCTGGATTCGTCGTCGATCCTGCAGGATTCGTACGTTTCCGGTGATTCGATGCCGAGTGTAACCACCACGGAGAGCTTGAATCTGAGCAAACAGGAGGAACAACTGACGAACGACGCGGAGGCGGACGTTTCGGCGGATGAGAGTAACAACTCCGGGTTCTACATTCCGGAGTATCCGCCGGTGAAGAGCAAGGAGGTGTTTGTCAATCAGGATGGGGTGCATTTCTTCGAGGATGGCAACTTTTGGATGGAGGTACCGGGACTGCTGGATTCGGACCGGGATGACGAGGAGGAGGATTGTCGGGTCATAAAGAAGAGCACCAAGGTGAAGTTCAGCACCAATCCGATGCAGGTGTTTTCAACGTTTTCGGTGAACGATTACGATCGGCGGAATGAGGACGTCGATCCGGTGGCAGCGTCCGCTGAGTACGAACTCGAGAAGCGGGTGGAGAAGATGAACGTTTTCCCGGTGGAACTGATGAAGGGACCGGAGGGGTTGGGGTTGAGCATCATTGGTGAGTAGGATTGAGTAACTGGTGACGATCGTTGTATTGAATTCGGGTATTTGTTTCACAGGTATGGGTGTGGGTGCGGATGCCGGTTTGGAGAAGCTCGGAATCTTCGTCAAAACCATTACCGATAATGGTGCGGCAGCACGCGACGGCAGGATACAGGTAGATTACTAATAAATTCATGGAATTCCATAAACTAAACTTTATCTTTCTGCTAGGTGAACGATCAAATCATCGAAGTCGATGGCAAGAGTCTAGTCGGTGTTACGCAGGCATACGCCGCCTCGGTATTGCGTAACACATCCGGTCTGGTGCGGTTCCAGATCGGACGGGAACGCGACCCGGAAAATTCCGAGGTCGCACAACTGATCCGTCAGAGTTTGCAAGCGGATCGCGAAAAGGAGGAACGGGTCAAACGCCAGCTGGAGGACTACCTCCGGCGAAATACGGAAATCTCCGAAGACTCCACCCTGCCGGTGTCGGCCAATTCCAGCGTTTCGGAAGGACCGGTCAGTCCGACGGGAGCGACGGCCGAATCGCTGTTCGAAACGGAAGCCGCCCGCTCCAGTGATGTGGAATCGCTACGACGGATTCTGCAAGAGGTAATTTCTATGCTTTTGCTCTATGTTTCACTTCGATTTGTCGCCTCCATCGATCACTACTCTGCGCTGTTAAGGCCCATCATGAAAAGCAGCATTCATTCGCGCATATGGATTATCATTTTCTCATGAATCATGAATGACAGGATTCGCTCTGTTCGGAAAATGCTTTTGCCATTTTGCGCACACCTGTTGTTGGTTCGAATTTGCTTCAATTTTTGCGCGCCCCCGGTAAATCTCACAACAAACGAAAACCGTTGGTGAGCCGCGCGTAGTTGTTTCATACTTAGTAGTCATTTCAAACAGAGCAGTAACAAAGATCAGTTTCAATGTGCTTCCTTTTATATGAACCCCGCGGTTGGGATGCTGCTGCTGCTGCAAAATTCCATGTGTGTGTGTTGTTATACGTTCCTGTGCTCATTTTGTTTTTCTCGTTTCTCGTTCTACTTTTTCTCATCCGTATTAAATACAAATAAAAAAAATAACGCATCATTGGAATGTTGGGCAGCATAAAGCGGTAATTGATCCATACTGTACTGGTTTTATAATGCCTCCTCAGCACACTAAATGGAGTTATTCATTATTTATGCGGTGAACTTTTTTTTTATGTGTTGGACTATACTATTCCATTTCCTGTCCCAATAACCCCACCTCTCATTGAGTTATTATGAAAAGCAAAACGAAAAAAAAAAGAATCTTCTTCCGCACAATGCTTTGCTATTTATATGCACCGAACAACGTTTGATTTTCCAGCCAAGAAAATCACTTATTGTTTCGACGAAATTGTGCCTTTCACCGGATTTTGATTTTTCCCCAGTTTCAATCAATGTGTTTTTTATTTTACTTTTCCGTTGCTTCAATCATTGCATTGTTCCTATCCATTGTTCAAACAATTTTGCTTTGGTTTTCTGCTGCTGCATGGTTTTTGATGTGATTTTTATAGCAAAACAATGTAGAACAGTCGAATCCCGAATGCAACACGGGATCACACACAGTCATCATCCAGTAACTTTACGTAATAAGACGGTAAGGTGAATTTGATTCTTTTTATTTCGGTCTCTCCATTCAGTGGGAGAAGCAGTCACAGTCATGTTTTTACTTTATGTTTTCCTCCTGTGCATGGCTTTATACGAAGCGGCCCAAATATCGATTCCCCGCCAGTTTTTTTTCTCTTTAAAAGCCTTTAAATTACTTCCGTTAATGCATGCCCGACTTGGTAACAGTTTCTGAATTTTGGTTTTCGATTTACTGTTAAATACTTTGCAAAAAACAAGCATTAAAGTTACTTCCAAATCGATACCGTTAAGTGAATGATTATTTTTTAGAGAGCTATAGCATAGCCTATCAAAAATATAATTTACAATCCTCGGGAATCGAAAATTTAATTTTTTTTAGTTCAAGATCTTCATTTTTTTCTGAACCCTTTCCTTCCCAGAAGGTCTTTTGTTGTTTTGATATTCAACAATTTGGTTTTGAAAAGTGCTAAAACGAAAGATTTTCCATTCAGTCTAAAGTTATCGAACCCGATAAAAAATTTTTTTGCTTAAAATCAATAGTATTTGAATTGTTTTTTTCAATAGGGTAAGTGAGGCAGTTTTGGCACAAGTTAGTTAGCATATTTAGTTTTTGCATTATATAAAATATGAAATATAAATATTCAACGTGTATTAACTGATACCTAAGGGGAAAACAACTTTTGATAATGAGTAAAATTGGAGTAAATTTTGAGTAACTCTGAGTAACTCGAGTTGCTCATAGCAACCTGTTTGTTTTGTGTGCATTCCACAATTGTCAAGCAAAGATGTTTGACGAGGAAAATCTTATCATTGAATGGCGATTATAATAGTAGTGACACAATTTATCATAGTGATGATACAAACGGTAATTAAACACAGTTTTTTAGCACTCCATTGCGAACATTTTGGCATATTGCATAGACACGAAAAAGATTCTAGATGTTCATGCGCCGCTAAAAAGTTTCACTTTATGTGGCGTCAAAGGGGGTTATTTCGAGAGTCAAAGTGACTTTTGTCACTGGTGAAGTGATTAAAGTTACGTCGTGGTGACGCTATTCTCCATTTGATTTACACAGATAGTCACCACACCACGACATGACTTTTCTCACTTCACTAATGACAAAAGTCACTTTGACTCTCGGAATAACCCCCAACGACTACGGCTTTTTAATTAACGGACACGACTGAAAACTGATCGACTGATTGTACTTGTTCTCTTCTTTTGCAAATGTACCGTACCATCACAATTGAGTTGTTTAACTTCGAAAAATATACCGATTTTTATACCTCATCTGATACAGTTTCGTTTTCTGAGCACAACGATATTTGTATCGATCCCGTAGATATTCATCTCGATTTTGAAATCAAGATTTTAATTTTCGATCGTTGACACTAAATCTATTCGTTGACAGCTCGCTCCCATACAAATTCCCGCCGAGGAGCGCTATGGTGGTGATTTTTGCTAATGTAATCGTACTTATTTAAAATAGTTCCAATGTATAAAAATTGATGAAATTTTGGATTTCGGTTCCATTTTTAAGGCAGATAACGAATATGTGTTTACCACTCGCGATTTCGGAGGGTAATAACAAGGAAAATTTATTTAAAATAAAACCTTTCCTCTTAGTTTATACCGGAATTGATACATTTGTTCAATTAACCACTTCAGTCGAGCAGTTGAAATAAAACATTATTTTACGATTTTTTCTTCTAAAACCTCGAGAAAAGTAAGCAACATTTGTGCGTTTCATAAACAAATAGAAATTAGTTGGTCCAGTTTTGTGAAATCGCTGGTAGAAAGTCACGGCAAAACTGCTTGACGCAGTTCACTCACTAGTTCGGATTAGTGGTGTGAAGCTGGGGGCAAGACAGCTTTCGATCATGAGTAAAACCCGAGTTAATTTTGAGTAACTCTGAGTAACTCAACGTGAGCTCAATATCTTACACACTTAGTTTTTTCTACCGAGCTCGGCTGTGCAAATCTCGGCAAAATAAGTTTTACTGAGATCTCAGCAAAAGTGACATTTGATTGCTGAGTCTCGGATAATGCTTAGCAGAATCTCAGCAAACAAATGAAATGTTTGCTGATATCTCAGTGAAACGTTTTTTGCCGAGATTTGCACAGCCGATCTCGGTAGAAAAATCTAAGTGTGTATATACACATAGCAACCTGATTGTTATATTGAAAATAATGTTGAAACCGATGCTGTCAAGCAAAGTAAGTTGACGCTTTCTTGGAATTTCTGTGTAGGGACTTTTGAGGCGGTTCGATAGGTTCGGATTAGGCTAAATTAATTCAATAAATCCAATTTTTATATTTTTTAAAACTTCCAGAAACTCGATGAAAACGTAATTTACACAAATAATAGAGTACATACAGGCTGCACGATTTACGAAAAGATAAGAATACAGTGCCTTCCCATTATTGGTAACAAATGATTTTTGCGTGTTATGCTGTCTATAAATTCAACGAAAGCTCCATTCGATTTATAACATTACTCGATCATTCTTTAGGGATTAGACGCTTGATATTTCATGAAATGTTGTGCTCTGGGCACAAAATTGAGGAAATAAACATATGGGGCCGTGTTTCCAAAAACGGTACGGCACTGTTTATGGTTGTTGACCATGGCACACACTTAGTTTTTTCTACCGAGCTCGGTTGTGCAAATCTCGGCAAAACAGTTTTACTGAGATCTCGGCAAACATTTCATTTGTTTACTAAGCATTATCCGAGACTCAGTAATCAAATGTCACTTTTGCTGAGATCTCAGTGAAACTTATTTTTGCCAAGATTTGCACAGCCGAGCTCGGTAGAAAAAAACTAAGTGTGCATGATTATTAATGTTAAGGTTCCACAAAAGGTACATAATTTGTTTACTTCTTCTAAGAATACAAATTTAATTGTTGAACCTTAACAAACTCCACGAAGCTGGTCAGAGCTGACCTAATCTGGCGTAGAATCAGCAGCTACATAATATACCACAATCAGCAGTCAAGGACCAATTCTATTGACCACGAAGGAAGTTTAAAGCTCAAGTTGTACCTCAGGTAACCGAAAAGGAGCATTCCCCTTTTGGAACGGGTCACTCCCGTCACTCCTGTATCGTCCTAGGCCATGCCAATCCTCACCAACGAGGGAAGGCGCCTGAAAGGCATCCAAGCCACACACGAACGACAAGCCTCGTAAAACCGTCGTGCAGTTAAACCACCACAAGAGCATTTCGTTTGTCCACAATTTGATTTGTTAAACGAGCGATTAGATCTTTCAAATGGGCGAACAGATGCTTCAAACGAAATATGCTGTCAGACGATACTTTCTTTGATCAGAAAATCGAGACTACTTTGATCATTTTTGAGTAAATATGAGTAACTCTGATTTACTCGCTGCAAATATATTTACTCTGAGTACAGCTGTCTTGCCCCCAGGTGTGAAGGCAATAAGACGTTGAAATTTATAATTGAAAGAACACACCCTTTGCCGAAAACGAAGTCGTTTTCATACCAGGCCTTCTCCGGATCATTTCGGAAATATCTTTTAATGATGTTTCTACTTTGTTGTCCTACCACTGTTCTGAGACTACGCTTATAAGAGTAATTCATGCTGAAAATAAATACACATGGATTATTGAGTATTTGTTGCAAGAATACAAAACTAAAATAAATGATTACTCTGACAGCTTATGTTCGTTTATACTGATTAATTTTAATTTTTTGACGAATGCGAGACTGTTTTGATCACTTTTGAGTAATTACAAGGGGTTGGTCACCTCTACACAGTGTGCCAAAATCAAACTGGGGCAGACTCAGGCGTCGGCATTGACGCTGTTTGGCACCCATGGTTACAATTTTTATGATCTTTAAAGGTACTGGCAACACTGACCTTTTTGTGCGCTTACGCAGTGTGCATGTGTCAAAATTTGTTATTGATGTTGCCACACTATAATCAAATTATTTTCAAAGCAACCGTGAATCTCCACCAAGTCT